CGGCGCGTCGCGGCGCCCGCGCCCGCGCCCGCGGCGCCCGCGGCGCCGGGCGGCCGCGAGGTCTTCGCGGCGTCGTGGCGCGCGCTCAAAGGCCTCGGCTGGACGTACCGGGAGCGCGGCGCGGGCGTCGTCTACTGCGCGCCGGGCTGCCCCGGCGACCTCGGCGACGCGGCGCGGGGCGTCGACTACGTGTCGAGCGAGGAGGCCGTCGTCGCCGCGGCGGCGGGCGCCGCGCCGGCCGCCGTCGCGGACGCGGCCGAGGACGCCGCGCTCGAGGCCGCGTGCGCGGCCGCGGAGCGCGCGTTCGAGGCGAACGCCGGCGACTCGTCGAGCGACGGCAGCGACCTCGAGATCGTCGGCGGGCCCGCGGCGCGGCGCTGCGCGCTGGCGCCCGAGGACGTGCTCCGGAGCGTCTTCGGCCACGAAGCGTTCAAGCCCGGCCAGGCCTGGGCCGTGGACCGGTGCCTCCGGGGCGTGTCGTCGCTCGTCGTGCTGCCCACGGGCGCGGGCAAGAGTCTCTGCTACCAGCTGCCGGCGTGCCTCCTCGAGGGCGTCGTCGTCGTCGTGTCGCCGCTCGTCGCGCTCATCGACGAGCAGGTCGCGCGGCTCCCGCCCGAGCTGCCGGCCGTCGCGCTGAGCGGCCGCTGCGGCGCGACGCTCAAGCAGCGCCTCCTGGCGCTCGAGGACGTCGCCAAGGGCCGGGCGAAGATTTTATTCGTGTCGCCGGAAAGGTTGGGCACGCGCGCGCTCGCGGACGTCTTCCAACCGCGCGACGGGTCCGCGGGCGCGAACTGCTCGCTCCTCGTCGTCGACGAGGCCCACTGCGTGTCGCAGTGGAGCCACAACTTCCGGCCGGCCTTCCTCAAGGTCGGCGACACGGCGCGGCGCGTGCTGCGGCCCGCGGCGACGCTCGCGCTCACGGCGACGGCGTCGCCGGCCGTCGTCGCCGACGTCTGCGCGACGCTCGGCCTCGACGCGCGCGACGCGGCCGCCGGCGGCGCCGTGCGCGTCGCGTCCTGGCGCCGCGACAACCTGGACTTGGTCATCCGCAAGCTGCCGTCCCACGGCGGCGACGGCGCGAAGCTCGAGGCGCTCTTCGAGCTTCTCGACGTCGAGGAGGGCGGCGGCGTCGCGGTCCGCGGCGACGCGTCGGCCGCGGCGGCGAAGCGCAAGAAGGCCAAGGCCGCCGGCGCGGCCATCGTCTACACGAAGACCCAGTGGGAGGCGGAGCGCGTCGCCGAGCATCTGGCCGCGCGGGGCGTCGCCGCGCGGCCGTACCACGCGGGTCTGGTCGCCGGCGACCGGCAAAAGGTCGCGCGCGACTTCGCGCGGGGCGCCCCGAGCGCCCGCGTCGTCGTCGCGACCGTGGCCTTTGGCATGGGCGTCGACAAGGCCAACGTGCGCCTCGTGGTCCACCACGCGATGCCGCCGTCGCTCGAGCGCTACGTCCAGGAGGTGGGGCGCGCGGGCCGCGACGGCGCGGACGCCAGGTGCGTGT